CTTCTTTCTGCAGTGAGGTACCAGTAGGTTAATACTACATACTAACAGCAATGGGAGGAGCTGTTCAAACCCTCCTGCTTTGCATTGAGTTAACTTACTCAGTGTCTCCATTCCCTGTACAAAGCATGCTGACCGGCACCTACCACTCACAGACAGCCAAGGCCAGTGGGCGGTGTTCCCAAACCAGTCTGTGCCAATTACACTTTCTGCAATTACATAATTAAGTATTACAAAACTAAAATTGAGTGCGAAAAGGAATCGTTTCTGTGAAAACAAAATTGAATGCTTTGGAAGGATTGAAAAGCAAGTTATTAAAATATCCGCTGTGGAATTAAGTGAGATCAAGGCAGCTGTAAACGGTTAGTAAAATTAGTCCAACTCCAGAAGGATTCAGCACTCGGCTTCCCAAGTGTCGAAGATCCCACTTCACTTTAAATAACTTTAATCTGGAAGTGGCAGGCCATAAATTACAAAAGTGATTAATGCAGAAAAGATGACGTGGAATTCTAGTCAGCAGACCCGTATTCAAAGAAAAGGCTTAGCCCCACGTTGAAAGATTGATTAATAAATGCACATTTTTGTTTTACATTAAAATGAAATATTTAAAGTGCATATGTACCTATGTCTTGTTTCCCACTTTAATTGTACTCATCCTGTCTGATAAGGGCTTCTCCTGCATCTCTCAGTGATTAGCCTCTCTTTTTCCTCATTGCTATTGCCCATGTCCTGGTCACTACATTTCCCCTGATTTCCTGCAGCTTCCCTGTTGGACGTCTCTCCCAAGTTTTGCCCTGTCTCTAGTCCCTTATCCGTACTGTAGACAGTGAGAACTACTAAAAGCATAAACCTGGTCATATCACCCCTTTACTTCAAAACCCGTAAAATCCAGGCTCCTTGAGCTAGTTAGTGAGGACATCTAGATCTGGTTCTGCTTACGCCCTAGTTTGATTTTGGTGCTGCCATCTCCTTCCCTCAAACTCAGCCATGTTGACTTGCTTTCAGTTCAGTTGGAGAAGTGGAGTCTGTGGGTGTGTGTGTGGGCGTGTGGGCATGCCATGCTCTCTCATCTCTGGGTGGAACGTCTCCCCCATCCTTCCTTTGTTCTTCCTTCTCCCCTGATTTTGCCTGTTTATTAAAATAGGTATAAACAGAATAATATAGTATATACACACGTATATGTCAGGCTTTTTTTATTTTAAATTAAGTTTATGAGATTCATCCATCTTGCTGGGTGTTGCTGAAATTTGTTCATTTTTAACGCAGTATAGTATTCCATTACATGACAGTAACACAATTTATGTACTTGCTCTTGAATGTAGAGTAGCTAAAGCAAATAGAAAAAATGGTGAAGTAAAAGAACTGAAAAGAAGATTTCAAAGGGCAGCTTGAGAAGACAAAGTGAAGTATTATAATGAAATGTATAAAGACCTAGAGTTGGAAAACCAAAAGGGAAGAACACACTTGGCATTTCTCAAGCTGAAAGAACTGAATAAAAAAATACAGGCCTTGAGTTGCAATATTGAAATGTTCTATGGGCAAAATTTTGAACGATGCAGGAAGTATTAAAAGAAGGTGGAAGGAATACACAGAGTCACAGTACCAAAAAGAATTGGTTGACGTTCAGCCATTTCAGGAGGTAGCGTATGATCAAGAACCAATGGTGTTGAAGGAAGAAGTCTAAGCTGCACTGAAGGCATTGGCGAAAAGCAAGTGTCCAGGAATTGAAGGAATACTAGCTGAGATGTTTCAGCAAATGGATGCAATGCTGGAAGCACTCACTTGTCTATGCCAGGAAATTTGGAAGACAGCTACCTGGCCATCTCACTGGAAAAGGTCCATATTTGTGCCCATTCCAAAGAAAGGTGATCCATCAGAATGCAGAAATTATCGAACAATATCATTAATCTTACATGCAAGTAAAATTTTGCTGGAGATAATTCGAAAGCGGTTGCAGCAGTACATAGTCAGGGAACTGCCAGAAATTCAAGCCAGATTCAGAAGAAAACATGGAACCAGGAATATCATTGCTGATGTCAGATGGATCTTGCCGAAAAGCAGAGAATACCAGAAAGATGTTTACCTGTGTTTTGTTGACTGTGCAAAGGCATTCGACTGTGTGGATGATAACAAATTATGGATAACATTTCAAAGAATGGGAATTCCAGAACACTTAATTGTGTTCATGCAGAACTTGTACATAGGTCAAGAGGCAGTCATTCGAACAGAACAAGGGGATACTACGTGGTTTAAAGTCAGGAAAGGTGTGTGTCTGGGTTGTATCCTTTCACCACACTTATTCCATCTGTGTGCTAGGCAGATAATCTGAGAAGCTGGTCTATATGAAGAAGAACAGGGCATCAGGATTAGAGAAAGACTCAGTAACAACCGGTGATGCGCAGATGACACAGCCTTGCTTGCTGAAAGCGAAGAGGGCTTGAAGCACTTAGTGATGAAGATCAAAGACTCCAGCCTTCAGTGTGGATTACGCCTCAACATAAAGAAAACAAAAATCCTTACAACTGGACCAGTAAGCAACATCATGATAAACAGAGAAAAGATTGAAGTTGTCAAGGATTTCATTTTACTTGGATCCACTATCAATGCCTGTGGAAGCAGCAGTCAGGAAATCAAATGACGTATTGCACTGGGCAAATGTGCTGCAAAAGACCTCTTTAAAGTGTTGAAAAGCAAAGATGTCACCTTAAGGACTAAAGGTGTGCCTGACCCGAGCCATGGTATTTTCAGTCACCTCATATGCATGCGAAAGCTGGACAGTGAATAAGGAAGATCGAAGAAGAACTGATGCCTTTGAATTATGGTGTTGGTGAAGAATATTGTATATACCATGGACTGCCAGAAGAATGAACATATCTATCTTGGAAGAAGTACAGCCAGAGTGCTCCTTAGAAGCGAGGATGACGAGACTTTGCCTCATGTACTTTGGACATGTTATTGGGAAGGACCAGTCCCTGGAGAAGGACATCATGCTTGGTAAAGTAGAAGGTCAGTGGAAAAGAGGAGGATCCTCAACGAGGAGGATTGGCACAGTGACTGTGGCAATGGGCTCAAACTGCAATGATTGTGAGGATGGTGAAGGACCGAGCAGTGTTTTGTTCTGTTGTATGTAGGGTCAATACAGGTTGGAACTAGCTCGGCGGCACCTGACAACTGTTGATAGACGTTTGGGCTGTTTTCAGTACGGGTCTGTAAGAAAAGAAATGCTGTCACAAACATTTTTGTACACACTGCGTGCCTTTCTGGTGGATATATACCTACGAGAGTTATTACCAGTAAGAGAGGGTGCACGCAATTATTTAAATTCAGTAGATAACACCAAATTGTTTTTCCAAGTGACTAGCAATTTATACTCCCACCTACAATTTCTTATTCCGTATCCTCTCCATATCTTCCATATCCTCTTGGTATTGTCAGCTTTTAAAATCTTTGTCATTCCGGCGGGCGAATAGTGGTTTTAATTACCGTTTTCTTTGTTTGCTAATGAGGGTGAGAGTCTTTGCATATGATTTTTGTCATTTGGGTATTTTGTGAAATGTCTGATTGAGCCTCTTGTCCAATTTGTTTGGTTACTTGTCTTTGTCCTCATTCGTAGGAATTCTTTATATATTCCATATAGGAAATCTTTGTTGCAATGACTGTCTTCCAGTTTGTGACTTATCTTTTCACTCTTTTTGTGGGGTTTGTTGTCGTTGGTGAACAAAATGCCCTAATTTTACTATGGTAAAATTCATCACCATTACCCATCTGTCAGTGTTTTGTGCTGTGATGGCTTACGTGTTTCTGTGATGCTAGAAGCTGTGCCACTGGTATTTCAAATATCAGTAGGGTCACCCATGATGGAGAGGTTCCAGTGGAGCTTCCAGACGGAGACAGACTAGGAAGAAAGGCCTGCAATTTCCTTCCGAAAATTATCCAGTGAAAACCTTATGGTTCACAACAGAACATTGTTGACTTGCATGCTTTAGACATATTGTCGATGGGGAGGGATCAGTTGCTAGAGGAGGGCATCGTGTTTGGTGAAATAGAGGGCCAGTGAGGGCAAGGGAGACCCCCGAGGAGATGGGTGGGCGCAACAGCCACAGCGATGGACTGCAACACGTGGCGATTGTCGAGGCTGATACGGGACTGGGCAGTGTTTTGTTCTGTTGTACGTAAGGTCACCATGGGTCAGAGGTGACTACATGGCAGATAACCACCACCACAAAATTCAGCCGTCCTGGTTACCATGGGCTGGGGGGAGACGGGAATGGGGACTTACAGCTTAATGCGTACAAAGAGTTTATTTGAGGTGATGAAAAGCTTTTGGGAAGAAATAGTGATGATGGTTCCACAACATTGTGAAAACAGGGCACTGAATCGCACCCTTGAAAACAGCTAAAATGGCAACTGTATGCTACACATGCTGTCTCAACAAAATGTACGCACTTGTATAACAACACCCTGTGTCTCCCCTCACCAGCGTTCTTGTGGTTGTTAGTTGCTGTTGAGTTGGCCCTTACCCACCGTGACCTTATGTATAACAGAATGAAGTGTTGCTCGGTTCTGCCCCATCTCCATGATCTTTGATAGGTTTGAGCCCGTTGTTGAGGCGGTCGTGTCAGTGCATCTCATTGAAGGTTTTCCTGACCCTCTGCCAAACATGTCCTGCACTACCCGTGGATCTTTCCCGATGACCTGTCCAAAATTAGCAAGACAAAGGCTCGCCATCCTCGCTTCTAAGGAGCATTCCTGTTGTATTTTTTCTAGCATGCAGTATTTATTCATTGCCCTGCATGGCAACCAGGCTGTAAGTTCTGTGTGGATGGGGGGCCATTCAGTAACCTTGTTTGATTAGCAACCCAGCTCTTAACCACTACGCCACCAGGGCGCCTTGTTTGCCATGGTCTCCGCTTAATAAATATTTGTGTGAACAGATGGTGCTTTCTAAATACTGTAGATTTCGCTGGAGAAGACTTGAGTCACATGTTGCGTTTCCTTTGCAGCTGCTGTCTCTGCTGGCCTTCATCTGTGAAGAGGTTGTGTCACAGTGCACAATGTGCGGAGGCCTGTACTTTTTTGAATTCGTCAGCTGCAGTGCCTTCCTTCTGAGTCTCCTTATCCTGACAGTGTATTGCACCCCAGTTTATGACCGAGTTGATGCTGAAAAAGTAAAATTATCGGTAAGCATTGAAAAATACAATTCCTGTACTAAGAGCACAATTATTTTGTAATCTTTTGTAGTTTTATTATTGTTCGGAGTAGTAATGCCTTCAGAACTCAGCAACATAGCAAGACATTATCCATTGTTCCAACTGTCTGCCTCCAACCAGCGCCATTTTCCCTGACAAATGGAGGGTAGAGGAGAAGGCGGGAGCAGCAGACACTGCCAACAGTTTACAGCGATTGGTGGTTGTATCTACTCACACGAGGTGTCTTTTTAAAAACTGGGATTTTGTCACTTTTGATGACTTCTTGTGCTTCAGGGTATCACTCATTAGTAGTTATTCCCTGGACGCCTCTTATGTGCCAGGCGTTTGTGCTAGACATAGATAATGAACTGATGGGAGGTATTTCTGGGGCTTTAAAGCAAGACAGCGTGTAACTCTACCTGTATTTTGATTTTGTTATGAAAAAAAATTGCCTATAAATGAATTAAGATTTCGTTTGCTGAATTCATTGTTCAGAAATTTTCCTTACAATGCAAAGGTACATGGGAGTTCTGTTTTCACAAAATGAGAGATGCGTAGCTTTCTAAAGTCTTAGTCGGCTGACTGTGTGTTTCTATTTGAGTGTATTTTGAATTTGTGAGATGACAGATAAGATAATTCACATAAACCCAAAATCCAAACCAAACCCCGTTGCTCTCAAGTCAATTCTGACTCATAGTGACCCTCTAGGACAGAGTAGAACTGCCCCATAGGGTTTCCAAGGAGAGGCTGGTGGATTGAAACTGTTGACCTTTTGATTAGCAGCCAAATGCTTAACCACTACACCACCGGGACTCCAATTCACATAAGTAAGAATTTAACAAAAAGAAGAATTGAGCAGTTTATTTCTTCAATAGCATTTGAGTTGTCACTAATATCTGTGAAGAATTGTACATGTCAGGGTTGACATGTGAAAGCACTCCCATCTTGAGGGAAAAGATAAAATTAAGGTAAAATTGTAATTTATTAGGGACAAGAGATAACAGTAACAAAGCAGTAGGAGGCTCTTGTTTTCAGTGCATGAGAAGCAAGCACTGGGCCTGTATTGATTATACTCCTGAGATATTTACTTTTTACTGTATACCCTTTTGTACGTCTTGGTTTTTGTGCTATGGGAATCTATTGCTTTAAAAAATATTATTTTAAGTTAAAAAATTAAAAATAGAAAGTTATTACAAACAGTTAAATAACTTTGAAAAGTGAGTAGAGTCTGAAATCCATCAGGCGTTTGTTGAACACATGCGCACAGTTGTTGCTCTGGCCAGTATACGACTCTTCCAGTATCGAGGCTGCTAACAGCGGCGGTCAGGACACATCGTATGCCAGGGGCTTTACAAACTGTCATTTCGAATCCTCAGTCCTTAGAAGGCACTGCTCCCTTTTCCTGTTGAGGAAACTTAGGGTGGGTAAGTAACTTGTCCGAAGTTACACTACCAAAGTCAAACTGAGATTTGAACCCAGGAAAGGCCCGTCACTCTGCATTCTCCCGTGTGGCCGAGGCAGACTGATTAGAGTGAATGCCCGAATTCTTCAAGTGCCGTCATGGCAGGTCCGTTACTGTGGGCGTCTGCGTATAACCATAGCAACGACTGCCTGTTTATTTTCTGAAATACGTACTGAGAATGCAGATAATACCTTAGAATTTTCGTTGTTTTTGTAATAAAGGAGCCCTGGTGGCACATTGGATAAAGCGCTTGACTGATAACCGAAAAGTCGGTGGTTCAAAACCACCAGCGAGCGGCCCCTTGGGAGAAAGATGTGGCAGTCGGCTTCCGTAGAGATTTACGGCCTTGGAAACCCTGTGGGGTCACTATGAGTTGGAATCGACTTGACGGCAGTGGGTGGTCTATATTTGTAATCTTTGAAAATTCTTTCTTTTTCTTATAAGTATGCCGTAAGGTTTGGACAAAGGCTACGTTCTCTAATGTCTGAACTGGTTGATTTGTAGTTTGAATGTGTAAATTTATATTTTAAACATTAAAGATTGAAAGTATTTTTTCTTTTTCTAATCTCTCAACAGCAAATGAACAGTGTCACTGCCCATACAAATTTGAGAAGTGTTTCATTTCTACTTTAATGCTGCCTCTGTAGTATTTAAGAACATTGATGTTTTTGTCTGGAAACAATATTGTGATAGTGTCTGCTGTAATGGTCTAAGCTTCAAATTGTAAAACATTTATTACATCAAACTTGAGCATTTAAAAAGTTATTTTGTTGTAAATACTAATTTTAAAATACTGAAAAAAGAAAAATAAATTGCTCAGTCCTTTCACCTTAAAACAGCCATTGTTAATATTTTACTTTTTTCAAGTCTTTTATTTCTATTCATAGGTGATTTTTAAAATGTGAAAGTTGTTATCATAGTGCACGTATGTTATTTTTCCCCTGTACCGTAAAGATTTCATATTTGTCTGCTTGCATCGTTTGAAAATCACTTTTATTGTCTGCGTATTGATGTACTTAAATTTTAAAGATCTTTTCCTGCAGAAGAGGTTTTCTGTCTCAGAGATAATGTTTGCAGTGGCTGGTGGTGGCGGTGGTGGTGGGGTCTAGGGGGGAAGGAGAGTCTTCCATCCCGTGCTGTTGTGGGCCAGCTTCTGGTAAGAGGAACAGTGGCCAGCATCCACGGGGCATAAAATGATGTCTTGTTTAAATATCTCCTTGAATGCACTTCAAATACAGGTAGAGTTTTTTTATTTGTGCATAGCAAATTTGAAATAATATTAGAAGGAATAGAAAAACAATGGAGAAGGTACTGCAGAAAAACACCTCTTTTAGAAGCAAAGAGAAAACTTCTTAAATTTTTTATAAATGGTAAGTGAACCATTGACAGTATAGGAATTCTGTGTCAGATGGTTTTATTGATACGAGGTTTAGCGGAGGTTACATTTGGGATAACTTTCAAAAAGGATCAGACGTAAAACCGTTTGGAATGGCTGTCGTTTTACCAGTTTCTCCAGCTGAATAAATACATATGTCAGGCACTGTATTCCGTTGGCAGATGAGAGCCTTAGGAGGTAGTGCGTGAGAGGGCGCTTGGAGACCCGTGAAGCACTTCCTGTTTGTAAGCTGCCTTGTGATGAGATGTGGAGGCCTTTATGTAGTAGATGAGCTCATTATACAAGCTCATCTTGGATTTCTCAGGAGTGGTTGAAGGCAGTATGTTACTCCATAGACAGGGTTTAAAAACGTGTCCAAAAAACACACTATGGGCATAATTTTATTTCATTAACTATGGGTGATTCTTTTGGTTTCTCTTCCAAAGTGCTTTCAATGCGCTGTGGTACTCTTCAGACATGGCATCCTAGCGTGGAATACTTTCAAAGCGAGTAACCGTGCTTTCTTTTGCTAGAATCAGAAGTAAGATGGAACCTTAACAAATCCTTTGGCTTTGATAATTTTAATGTCTAGAGAAGAAAGGGCTACCACGTACGTACATGCATGCCTGTGTATGCACACACACGGCCTTTTGGGGGGACTGTTTTTGTTAAAAGGTTATTTTGTGATGTGCTTTCTAAATATGCCCAGTTCAAAGTTTGGATAGTGTTCATTGACAGGGTATAGACCAAATGGTTGATCGGAAAGTTAAAAGTTGTGAGGTATCTACATTTGGATTGCGTTAAGAAAAAAAATAAATCACTGAAGTTGTCTCAAAGTAAAGAATTCAGACAGTTGCATCCAGCAGTCTGACCATACTGTGCTCCTTCCAGGATTTCTACATCACTCTGGGAACAGGCGTTGTGTTTCTCTTGGCGTCCATTATCTTCACAACCACACATGACAGGACGTCAGCTGAGACCGCTGCAGTCGTAAGTACCTGTGCTTTTTACTTTTGTTTAGTTTTATTTCCCTAGAAATACAGGAATTTGGAAAATACTTGACAAGTTATATACTATGGAAGCATAGTTTGTCTTTTAACCTATTTTCTTTAGTATATTTTTGACTAGGAGACCTAAAAGCCAATAAATAATGACCACCTTAAAAATCTAGACCCTGTCTTTGGAAGTTAACAAAAATCCATTTACTCCATTTAGGCACATATTATTGCTAATGAATCTGGAAACATTGACTCGATCATCTTGTACTCTTCCAGTCTTCAGCCAAAGCCCTGCGTGCCTGGGGCTGTTCTGGGTGTGGAGGCTGCAGAGGAGGGATGATGCAGAGCTGCAGCCTAACGAGAGAGAGAGGTGCACAGATTGTAGTGGAGAGCATTGAATGAACTGTAAGAAGCTGGGCTAGGCGGCAGTCCTCAGTGGGTGATGCGTATCCCTAACGGGGCATCAAGACTTCCC